AAAAGAACAAATCAGAGCAAAAATTCAATCACATGTTCGAGCAGAAGAAGCAGCCTATCGTTGTGTTGAACGTTTAGCTGTTGTTGAATGTATTACAAAAGAAGAATTCAGACATATTGTAAAATTAATAAATTTTTTCTTGTAATTTTTTATTTTTTTACCGGTACTATATTTTTATTAACCTACTTTCTTATGTCAATGTCATAGTTTCCAAATTCGTAATTTTGCTAACCATTTCTATCAATTTAATAGAACTGAGACAACAGTCCTGATTATTGAAATTAAATTAATCCTATATGAGGGCTGGTAGGCTCTAAAGTCATGGTTAATACAAATTATGTAGGAAAAAAATTTTTTTGGTATAAAATCCACTAAAAAATAAAAATGGTAAAAACTTTTAAATAATCTGTTTACTTAAAGTCAAAGTTTTCAAAAGTTATGCACAGCTGGTTTCTTTTTAATGCACAGCTGAAGCTGGTGTATTATTCAAGTTATGCACAGCTAAAGCAATATCTTTTACATCTTTCATACTGATCTAAAGCACAAATCTTGTACAAGATTTAAATTTTAGAATAATATAATTCAAGTATGGATTTCACAGTTTAGAAATTTGTCTTATGTGGTACCAAAACATCTCTCCCAAAAAAATCCTTTTGAGGGTTGATCTGATGCATATTTGGAACACCAAAACAAATAGTTGTGAAATCCTGGATTAACATCCAAGGGAGAAGCTTTCAAATTATTTTATTTTTTCAAATTAGTTTGTATGGTTAAAAATATATAAAATAACTTATATAGATGTTAAAATTTTATCTTATTTAATAGATTTTTATTATGTATTATATTTTATAATAGTTTTAAAAACTCAACTTTTATAATTATTTAATTTTTTTATATTTGTTATTTCTTATTATTTTTTATATTTGTTATTTTTTATTATTTTTAGAAAAAAATTGTAGGAAAAAAAAAAAAAATTATTTCAAGTTAAAATAAAAGTTTGAGTATTTTGTAAAAAAATATATTTTTTTCATATAGATGTACATCTAATATGATCCCTATTAGGGTGCATCACCACATTAGGGCAAAAAATTAGTTGTTTATTTTTGAGCTGTCTGTGTTTCCAATGTGTTCCAATGTGAATAATAATAACTTGAGTGAAATATTTTCCAAATCTGAGTAAGTTTAGAGGTCCCCCATGAGAATTTGAAATCCAGGAAACCAACCGCAAGACACAAACTCGATCAACTAGTAAGTTTTTTCATAAAATTCAATACTTATTGTCCTTTAATGAGAATAATGACTATAGTAATAAACCTAAATTGTTTTAATTGTATAATGAAGGCAACTGAACAGATAAAACCAAATTGAGATCACTAAAATCATTTTCTATTCAATTTTTTCTACAAAAAGCACAAAATCATTAACCAAAATATGCAAAAATCATTGACTATTATCACTAATAGTCAGTTCTTTTTTAATAAAATTCAATCCTCATTGCAGTTTAAGGTCTAATTAATGACTAATTAACTATAGTAATGAATCTTTATTTGTTTTAATAGTAGTAGAAAGATGTCAAATGAATCCAAAATTAGATGAACTGTTAATGTTTATTCCTTCTTGCATCGTTTGCGTCGCAATTTTGGTGTCTCTTTCCGATCTTTCTCAACCACTTGAAGAACGTTTTGATAATGCTCATCCGATCGTGCAGTTTCAACAAAGTCCGATGCCAGCTTGACACCCCTCTCGGCACAATCATTCACCACGTTCACTGCTACACAATTTTCAACACTGGCAATGTAAGCAGGTGTCTTTTCCCATTCATCGACCGAAAGTTCCAGAAAGCTGGTGTCTAATTGTAGACAGTAAACTGTAAACCAGGAGTCAACTCCAACCAGATCACTCAGTTGTGTTCTATGATCAATGGACAATGGAAAATGTGGCTTGCCCCATCCATTGCCAAATCGATTCATTGGAGCTTGCAGATCACTTGATGGTTTCAATTTGAGCAAGGCATCTGCAAGAGCTTGTCGTTCCGTTGATGGTACAAGCGTACTGAACAGTGCAAGTGGCACCATTTCCTCAGTGAGATACCACAGGTGCCGATTCAGAGCTCGAATTGCTGACTGCGAAGTCACCTTGTCCACAGTCTCGTACTCTAGTAAACGTTTGTAAAGCTGTAAATGATTGTATGGGGAATCAACCGTGTTCCTACATGTGAGCCACCACACACTGTAAACATGAGTAATAAACGTAGTGAATGCTCGTATCTTCGGCACTTGGTGACGAGTAGTGATAGTTCCTGCTGGTAGTTCTGCAATATGTTTCTCTAGAAGTGCAATTTTCAGGCCGTTGATCAGCTTTGCCATCCAACGAGCCTTGTGAAGGCTCGTTGGATGGCAAAGCTGATCAAATGGCAGTATCTGAGATGAGTCGTGTGGCACTAAATTCCAGTTACTTCGTAGCCTTGTGAACACTGTGACTTCTGGTGACTTTGATGCTTCTATCTTGAGGTCAGTAAACACGTGAGATAGAAGTACTTCACCAATGTGATGATGACATCCTGACCAGAGGACAGCACGTTCCAGCTTATCTTGAATGGCAATGCAAGCTGCAGTTAGGTGACCTGTATTTGAGCTCGTTGTGTCGAATGTCATATTAACAATTCGATCATTACAATGCCACTCGATCATTAGGTTCATTGTTAGCTTGGAAATGATTTCTCCAACAGATTGATCTGTACCCTTGAAGTAACTAGGCACTCCCAGTAGCTTCAACTGCAATACATCACAAACAACCACCGTCATACGTTCTTCAGTGACACGATTATTTGTTAGAGTTGGTGTCAGCTTTCCATCTCAATGCAGAGTACAGAGTTTTGGTGGTTCCCAGCTATTGTGAATTTCTATAGAAATTTCGTGTACAACCTTGCGTCGTGCGCGATCTGCAGTTGCATACGAAGAAGCAACCATAGATACATCGCCACCAGACTCAGCTATGACTCCTTGTGTGAATGCAGATTGTTGTGTTGGCGTCATCTTCAGACGTGTTGCTAATGACACAAGGTTTGGTCGGCTTAGCAAATCTGGTGGTATGAATGACAATGTTCCTTTCGGTTTTATACGGTTTGGTTTTTGTAGCTCCATTTCTTTTGATGGAGATCTAAATTCTGATTCCATGTCATCTTCAGAAGCAGACTCGCTTGACTCATCACTACATTCGTCAGTGGCAACACAGTCTTGGTTGATGCTTCAATCTCACCACGAGCACGCTTCAGGCGTCCTAATGCTGCAACATCACGACAATGACGCCGATTTATCTTCTGAGCAAGCGCCTTGTCAAATACCCCAAAACTTGCGGCTCTATCAGTTTTCATTGACTGCAGGAATGCAAGATCTTCTTCACCAGATTTGGAAAGTTGTTGCCAACATGGACTGCATCTCAAGAAGCTTGTGCTGAGTTGCAGGTGTTTCACTGCGACTTTTATCGATCGAACGAAGTTTATTGTTATCATCAAGAAGTTTTACTATTTTTTCGCATGCTCTACGCTCGGTGACCATTGGGATGTTGGCTTTTTCATACAAAGCTTTAACCTGTTTCACATCTTGGCAGATGTGAATCTTGATGTTGCACCGAGTGATCCTGGTCGCTTACCATGGGTAGCCTCTTTACTGTGATTCATCATGCATCTCAAAACTTGCAAGCAGGTTGGCAATTGGATACCAGTGATTAGTGCATCATCAGCACAGATTGCAGCACCTATACCAAACAACTCTGTAGCTCTACGAGTCTGTGGCTTCTTTTTTGAGTCCAAGACAGGAGTATTTTGGCGACTTGCACTACCAGATGATGACGAATTATCGTCAAATTTGGGCTGCTTAGGTGTTGTTTGCTCAACTTCAGCTTCAACTGCTTCATTCATGTTTTTTAAGGAATTAGGGTTCTAAAAAAAGAGAATAGTGTAGTAACTGTTGTTATTAAGTTATGAACTTGGTTTATCAAATTAGCAAATTATTTGAATATTTTGTGCAATTTATTATTAATTTTTTGGAATATTATTTGAATTATTATTTATTGGATTGCACAACATTACAAATATTTCACATTGCTTAGGTAATGCCTAACATGTCTCATAGGTTTAACTATATATATACAGTATACATTATACAATTATAGTATCTACATAAACAATGAATTACTGATTTACTGCATGTAATATGTATATACACAAAATAATGCAGAAATTAATATATTTAATGGAATTGTAAATTTACCAATTTTCACTGGACTGGGTTAACTAATATATAATTAAATTTTATTTTGAATTTTTGAGCAGACTTGACTATGTTTATAAAATTACATTTTCAATCATGGTAGCCAAAGAACATAAATATAAAGACAAAGCTAATAATTATAAAAAAATTATTTAGCACTTAATTTTGGTAAATAAGGTGAAACTTGTTAGGGCATGGGGGACCTCTAAATATTGTCTAATAAAATTTATTTTTTAACACATTGCATCTTTTGGTGATTGGAACAACTTGAGATAATAGACAGATCAATATTAAAAAAAAATTTTTTGTGATGCACCCTAATCCCTATACTTTTGTTAACAAATCCATTTTATTATTTAAAAAAATTTATTTCCACAATGTTTTTCAATTATCATGATATTTCAATGTTTTTTCAATTATCATGATGAGTACAGAGTATTTTATACATGTAGAAAAATGACGAATAAATTTCTGAATGTTTTATTTCTGAGATTTATTACTTGATTTTACCATACATCAATTTTAAGGATGAAAGAGTAGCACTTGGAGTTTGCTTCAACCTGAAAAAACTGACTGATAAACTTTATTTCTTAAAGATGCCCTAAAAACCCTAAACCCTAACGTTTTGATTCCATAATGCTAAAGCTTTTGGCAAGACTTGCAAGGTTTAGTGATTGCATTATTTGTTAAATAGAAAAGCTGAAAGGCAAAAAAAAAAAACACATCTATTTGAAAAAATTTTTGCATCAAAATACTTGGAATAACAAGAATAGTTAGTCATTTTTTTTTATAAAAGAAAAAGATTGTGAAGAATATTATATTAAACATTTTGTTAGAATTACTTACTTAAAATGTTTACTTGAGTTTTTTACCTTTATAATTTTTTTAAAAGAGGTAAATAAGATTTAATAAGTGATGAAAAGACTTTTTAATGACTGATTCTGTAAGACACTTCTGTATACAATATATTTTATGATTTATTTCTTATTTAATTGATAAAAATTATTAATTTTTGAATTTAACTGTAAATTAAGTGAAATTTTGCCATTGTTACAAAATTAGGCTAAAAACCCAATTTCTATTTCATATTCAGCACTGAAGTTGAAACTGAAGTCAATTTCACTTTTTACCTTCCCTTTAAAATTTTTTTGTTTACAAGCGGTGTTAATCTCACGAAATCAAAAAAATTATTCCATTCTTATGGCAATAAAAACAATGTATATTAAAGGTATATTAGCTAATTTAGGCTTAATAACTCTAAAATAAAGTACTTGATACAAGGGTAAAAATCTGGTATTTTCAGAGCTAAGTTTCTCCCTAGTATATTAATCCTGGTTTTCAAAATTAATTTTTTTGCTCAAATTAGTTGGTTTTTCAAAATTAGTTGTATTTTAATCCTAAATAAAAGATTAACTTCAAGCATGGACATAAAATATTTATTAACTTCCTGGATAGTATTTATATGCGGTGTTGTTTATTTTGATTCATGATGATTGTAATGAAGAATTCAGGTTTTTAGGTTCGTGATTTTAACCCGAGATATGTATCAAATGCATTTTTTACAAAATCTCTTTTTTAAAAATAAGTCTTCAGAAGAATTTACATTTAACACTTGAAAAATTTTTGTCAAGATCTAATTAAATCTAAAAATCAAGTTTAACAAAATCAACTAACAAAGTGGAATGGTTTTAAAATGCTATTTTACCAAAATGTTTGATTTCAAAATTATATTTTAGAAAAGAAAAAAACTTTCTTATTAGATTGAATCAAAATATTATGAGGGATAACTTATTACAAATCATAATTCATTAAAAATCATAATAAAAGAATTTTTTTGAATGTATGAAAAGTTACTGTACATTTCGGTTAGAAAAAGTAGCTAGCAAGTGTTTAAATTTGTTTTAAAGTTTTATTGGGAAGAATGAGATTAAAATTAAGTTGTAGAAAATGAAACTCTAAAAGTATATTTGCAGATAGAATGCATAAATTTGCAGATAGAATACATAACTTATTTATTACAGATTTTGAAACACCTTTAAAATCTGCTAACAGAAATGTGTTAGATATGTCAAATAGTACTGAACTAAGTTTTGGTTGTTTTGTCAGAGATCCTTTTTTATGAAATAATTTATAATTATAACAAAGCAATCAAAACATAATGTTGTTGTTAACACACCCTGATCTTACCAGGGTTGACCAGATTAGCTTGGTTACATATCATAAAGTAATTAATAAAAGTATAAAGTATTAAAAAATATGGTAAAGAAAAAAAAATATTTATAAAAATATTAAATATATAAAATAATAAAAGAAATCAAAATGCTATATTTTCCCATGCAAGAAAATATCAAGTCGCATCACAAAATACAAAAATATATTATTTATCACAAAATAATCAGATTGTAGTACTTTTCAAAAATTGTTTTCAAATAGATTTCTTTTAAATACTGATAGCAATATTTGAAAAAGTAGTATTGCAATCCTAACAATTTCAGATGTTTAATATAAAGTAAATCAATTATTCAAATATGTCATTTATTTGAATTTTTTATTTTTTTTTCCAGTTAAGCATTATAACGTTGTCACATTATCAAGATATTACAGAAGAACGTTTTGTTTCCAAAATGTGTGGATATGCTTTATGTAGCAACAAGATCTCTAAGGTTTATTATTGTTTAAATTTTTTAAGTTTGTTTTTCTTAAAGCAAAACTATTAGCTACTAAAATATTTTTTTTCTCCTTAATAAAAACATTCCTCACTTTTCTTAAAAAGTTGTTCTTTAAAAACCAAAACAAAACAAAAAACTGATTACCATTGTTTGAACCTTTTAGTAAAAACGTTTTTATTTTTTATTACAAGTTTATTTAGGTAGTCAAACAAAAGTTTCATATTTCAACTAATTCAAACAAAGTCTATGATATGGAAGAGCGAAAAGTATTTCTTATTAATATTTTTATTTTTTAAAATAGTTATTTTTTTGTTTGTTTTTTGGTTTTAGTTGCTTCTTAATTTTTGTTAAATTTTTTTTACTAAAAATTTTTATCTTATTCTGTAGCGATTTTGTTCACTTCATTGCTTTAAAGCAAGTAAACACTTGGAAAGACAGATGCAAGAATCTCCTTTTTGTACTACATCCACTGAAAAAAAAATTACATTTATTGATGAAGTGGTGGATAGCACACCTTTTGTCCTTGAGTATGTTAAACAGTTTTTTGTTTTTAATAGACTAGTGATATTATGCAATAATAGTGACCTGAAATCCCCTTTGTGTCAATAGTAAGTGAGCAGGTCCTGGTCCAGCCCCAAGCTAAAAATGGGACATTTAACAAATCCAGGCTTGGTAGAATTATAAGATTTAGCAGGGTTGATACCTGGGGCTAAAAAAAATTTATAACATTTTTTATATTATAAGTTTATACATACATTTACTTTTTATTAAATACTGGCTATTTTTTAGTCGATGTATGTACTGAAGCCCCTGCAACTTCCTGTTTTTTTATGATGTCATTTCCGTATGTTTAATACATGTATGTAATGTATGTACATATATGTATGTGTATATATATATATATATATATATATATATATATATATATATATATATATACATGTATGTATTGTATGTACATATATGTGTGTGTATATATATATATATATATATATATATATATATATATATATATATATATATATACATGTATGTATTGTATATACATATATGTGTGTATATATATATATATATATATATATATATATATATATATATATATATATATATATATATATATATATATATATATATATATATATAAATTATTCACTTTAGACAAAGTTGCAAGCAACCATTATTAAGTTATGAGTTACTAGAAAAGATTAGAAAGAAAAGAAACGGATAATCAAAGACTTAAAAAATAAGATAAGAAAATTTGTCAGTCAAAAAAAGTCAGAAAAAAAAAAAGAGTTAGAAAAACATAAATAAATTTTTTTTTATATGCATGGAGGGACAGGTACAATAAAAGGATGCAGCTCTGCTGAATGATAGTGTTTGTAGAAAATAAAATAGAGAGGCAACTTTATTTTTTGATGCGATAGTGGCTTAAAGTGGCTTAAGATTGGCTGATAAAGCAAGTCCAACTACATTAACAATGTGCTTTTTCGAACTTGTCTGAAAGTGAGGGGTTGTTATTCATCAATATAGGAATGTCAACAATATTGCAAAAGTTGTATGCAGTAAATAACTAAATTTTGTTTGAGTTAAAATCTACAAGCTACTGCAAACTTCAAATTAAAAGTCTTGTCCCTGACTGTTGAAAGCTTGGGACAAGACAGAAAGAAGAGAGTTCAGGTTAAAGCTTGTTCTAAGCGTTCAAAAAGTAAAGAATTTTTATCAAGACAAAAGTATAAAGTTGCTGCCCTTTGAATTAGGAAAAATGAAGTCATATATTGCTGATGTCTAACTGGTAAAGGTTGCATTAGGTAGTAAATGACTGGGGCCTCGGCACCGGCTAAAAATTAGAGTTTTTGCAAACCTTGCCCCAGGAAATTAGAAGATTTAGCAGGGGTTGATAGCCAAGACTAGAAAAAAATTATAATACTTTTTGTATTATAATTTTATATTTACATTTACTATTTATCACATACTTGCTTGTTCTAAGCAATCAAAAAGTGAAGATTTTTTGTCAAGACAAGAGTATAAAGTTGAGTCCTAATAGAGGTAACTAGCAGGAAGAATGGTACTTAACAGGAAGAATGTGATTCAAGAGTTAAATTAGAGTAAGATTTATTTGCAAAAAACTCTACTTTATTCTGGGAAGAAGTAATAAATGTCAGACCTATGAATTAGAGATTAAATGTTAGACCTACCTTAGTTAATGACACTGTTGAAGACTAACCAAAAGTCTCTAGAACCTAACATCTGAGATAAGAAACAAATTTTAGTAAACTTAGAATAACAGTGCTTAACATCAGACAGGACCTTTTTACATTGGTTTCTTGGAATAATAAAAGGACATTTTTTTTACAAGCGAGATACTGGCAAACAATATCCTTTCATATTTATATAAACTTTAGTATTTATATGGTGTAGTATTTGCCAAAATAAAAGATGATCAGATGAATGTGTGGTGTGACTAACATGACCAGAAAAGGAGGCATAGTCTTAGACAGATTACAAAAAAGCATCTTATTGGACAATGTTTGTTAGAGAAGATTAAAGTGATTTAGGTATCAGCATGTAGACAGGTAGCAGCTTCAGGAGAAATGGCAGTGGTAGAAGTAAAAAACTTGAAGAGAGTGTCTTATATATTGTCAGAATGAGGTTTAGTTAAAGAAAGAAAAAGCTCTAGATTGTTTATATTAGTGAAACAGTATAAAGGAGGAAAGCTAAAGCCTGATGATGGTGATGATGATGATGATGATGATGATGATGATCATGATGGTAATGATGGTTATGATGATCATGTTGATCATAATGATATTTATATTTGCATATATATACAAAATATAACTTGAATTTTAAATTAAAAAAATATACTTTAGGATGTTTAATTGTTTATGCAGCCCCGGTCACTAACCCGGCCCCGGCTATATTTTATTAAACTCAGCCCTGGCCCCGGCCCTGGTCAAATATCAACCCCGTTAGTTTACTAGCATAAGGTTGTCAAAAATATTTTTACACAAAGTGGTTACCATAAAATATAAAAACAAGATTCATAATTTTTTGTCTCAAACACTTTAAGTTTGGCATTGGTTGCAAAGGTTTTTGTCATTGTCATTGTCAAATGGCTCTTACTCTGAGGTTTGAAGATTGTCAGGAAGATTTTTATTGATAAAGAAATAATACAGGAGCAAGGATAGAATCTTACGGTACTCCTATAGTTACTAGAAATAAGGAAGAGTATAGGCCTTTGAGAATGGCTTTATCACTACATTTAGAAAGATCCTAATTGTAGGATAGTTAGAAAGGTTTATGTGTTTTCTAGAGTTTTTAAATATTGAAATGACTTATTTAGCACTTAATAATTTAATAATAGTTTAGCTAGGATTGAAAAGAGTTCTTTAGACATTTGTAAAACTATGATGGAAATGTTGTTTGAACCAAAGCCATAGGACTTAAGCATCAAAAGTTAGAGCAATTTGGATGTCTAACAATTTGGATGTTTTCAATTTGTTTAATTAGAATGGCAGGAAAAGTATAAATTTTAGATTCAAGAGTCGTTTTAGAAAAAAAGTTTTTTGCAAATAATAAATAAATCTCTGCCTTGTTCTGGGGAGTACTAATAAATTCATACCCATGAGTTAAAGATGGAATTTTAGACTTACTCTAGTTAATGACATTTGAGGATTTTCCAAAAGTCTCTATATCCTAACATCTGAGATAAGACACAAGATTTAGTAAACTGAGGTGAATGGAGATTAGTATCAGACAGGATTCTTCTACATTAACTTTTTCTAATAATAAAAGATATTTGTTCTCAATAGAGAAATTTTTGTAAAAAAGATAAAACAAATGATTACGATTTAGTATAGCAACTGCACAAGGTGAGACAATGTTAGAGATAAAAGTAAGAAAACTTTGAGAGAGTTCTTTACGTATGGTATAAACAAGCTTTAGTTAAGGAAAGAAAATGCTTAAGATTTTTTATATTAGAGAAGCAGCTTAAAAGGGAAAGGCTAAAGCTTGAAAATAATGATGATGAAGGTGATGATGATGGTCATTTTGATCACAATGATGTTTAAATATAAATATACATGCATATATATATATATATATATATATATATATATATATATATATATATATATATATATATATATATATATATATATATATATATATATATATATATATATATATATACATATATATACATATACATATATATATATATATACATATATATACATAAAAAATATACTATATCTGTATCAATGTTTATGCAGCCCTGGTCACAAACAGGGTTGCAACTATTTTTTAACCCCAGCCTTGTCAAATTTCAGCCCTGGTTACTTACTGTGTGTCAATAGCATTGTGAATAATAATAGTATTGTTATAATTGCATAATTAGCAGCCAACCTTTAACGATTATCTTATCGTCATGATGTTACTTCTCTTTTTCTTTTCTATAAATACTATAATTAGCACTGCTCTAAAGAGCTTATGTCTCTAGTGCCATCCACTAAAATTCATTATCGTGTTACTCGTCATTCAATTAAGTCTCGTTCTTTAACTGTGACTGTTCCAAATTACATTAAAAATACCTATTTGTCTAGTTTTTTACTTGAACATCAGTTCTTTAAAATTCACTCCCTTCATCTTTTTTCCTGATTCATATAATTTGCTATCTTTTAAGTTGTTTGTTAATCATTATCTTGCTTTATAAACTTCTACTTTTCTCTTCCAGTAACTTCCAACTGCAGTCTTGTTGGAAGTGATGATGTTAAAAAAACAAAAAAGCACAACCTAGGAAAGAAATGCTCACTAGATCAAAGAGTAAGAAAGAGTAAGCATACAGAAATTCTTACAGATACTCCAGTAAAACAACGATTTATGGCTAAAAAAGAAAAGAAAAAGAAAATCCAGTTCTTCTACATCAATAAAAAACAAAAGTTGAATTGAAATGTAGTCAATGTATTTTTTTTTTACATTAAATTTTTTTTTTAAAAACAAAATGTTATCGAGTTTTTATATCATTAAAACAGAAAAAACAGAACTAAAATATCCTAAAAATTTCTCTTGCTTTTTTTCTAAACTTGTTGCATATTTTTTCAAAAACACTTAGGAGTTAAAATAATGAATTAGTTTAAATAGTAATCCTCGTTATTTAATTTCTTTGAATGTAGTTGTTACTAAACAAGTAAGGTACATGTGAAGTCTTCCAAAAAAGAATTATTTTAGCTCAATGAAATCACTTTCTTTTATTGTAATTATAAAGTTGTTGTTGCCAAATAGAAATTACAGATTAACTAGTAATTTTTCTGTAAGTTCTGCAAGGCTTATACTTTCAAAGTGTTTTGTTGCAACCTACCCCATTCACTATTGCTTATGCTCCGCTGTGAGGTTGCAACATTTTTTTCATTTTTGTTTCACTATTGCAGAATAAGATTTATATTATCTTTATTAATCTTAGATTAATATTTCACTAAGATCTATTTTACAACCTTGAAAAAAAATTTTCAAAAACATCAAAATTACAGGAGATAAATGTAGTTTTTAAAATTTTGTTGTAACTAGCCCCGGTCTTCACAAATGTACTTAAGAGCTGGGTGCCAAACAAGAGCTGCAAATATAATGGGAGCTAATTCTGAGCCTTAAAAAATAAAAGTTTGAATTTTTTATATTTAAATCTGTTATTTTTTAAAAACTATTTTTTAATAGTGTCAACTTTAAATGAAATGTTTTTTTTAGTTGTGAAATCAAAATGATGGAGATGCTAAAACTAACTGATGATGATAAAAGGTTATTACAATTACAGTTTTTTTTATTTTTGTACTTAATAATTTTAACTTTTAATATTATAATGAAGCGTTTTATCATTATGATGTCATCAACAATGTTTTTGATTTCATGTTTGATAAGAAAACCTTTGTTATCCTGAGAGTTGTTTTTCTTCAAAAGGTAAAAGAATTGTTTAAAGTTGAAAACACCAGGAAGGAGTAAAACATTGTGAGGTTTGAGGCTTGACTTGAAATCAACAAGAAGGATTAAAATCTTTCATGTCTACCTGAATCCAGGAGATTATTAAGAAGGTACAATTTTTAGCAGAGAGACAAAAGATATCAGGCCAATGATCATTAAGAAAAAAATCATGAAAATTTCAGTCAGCTTTAAGGTTGAAATAAGAAGTTTTATGATAGGGTGAATCTGATAATGATATGGTGAATCTGATGATGATAGGGTGAATCTGATAATGATATGGTGAATCTGATAATGATAGGGTAAGTCTGATAATGATACGGTGAATCTGATAATGATAGGGTAAGTCTGGTAATGATATGGTGAATCTGATGATGATAGGGTGAATCTGATGTTGAAGAAGTATGAGGTATATATTTAAGTGAGGTCATAGCATGATCTGATGAACATCAAGAAATACAAGAAAATGCAAGAGTCAGGGAAACAAATCAAGGAGTAAAGGTAAGTTATTAAAGTTGTCTGCAAAATAAATCACAAAGTTAACTATCTGAGTAAGAAATTATGACAAAATTTTGAGCTTTACAACCTTCAGGGGTACTGGAGCCAAACCTTTTAAAGTGATGAGCATTAAATTCACTAAAAACAACTAAGGATTGAATTGGTTCAATTGACTAAGGATTTATTTTAATAAAAAATATTAAGCTGTATTTTATAGAATTTTTTAATTTGAGAAAACTAGAACCAGTTTCAAAGTACCATTTATTTAGAACTCTATTTAAGAATATGAAGAATATATGTCAGAACTCTAAAGTTTAAATTCATTGGGATTAATTAAAAAAAAATTATTTCACTGCCATCATCTCTGTTTTTGCTTAGTTTTTTCTTAAATTTTGAACCACCCACTCTGAAGTTTTTTTTTGTACAACCACTGTTATTTTTAATTTAACCACAAGTTATTTTTAATTTTGTTTGCAATTTTTTATATTGATATTCTGTTATAACAATTTGTTTCACAGAATTTTGAGTGTGTGTACATTTAAAGTGAAGAAAATGCCCAACATGTGTCAGAGAATGTATCTAGAAAGACAGCTTGAAAATTTTGAAATATATAATAAAATTCTAATCTAAGTCTTGAAGTAGCTTGTTAAAACATTTAAAGCATATCTTGAGTAAAATCGAAATCTAAAACTAATTTAGAAAAGCTTTCTTTTACATTCTTGAATCTCTTTCTGCTTACAAATCTTGTATGCTTTTTTTAAAGCTGTTAAAAAAGCCAATTGATAACATACAGGTACGCATTGCTACCACATGGGATTAATGCTCTTAATAATGAATTGAAAGTAAGTTTTATAAGTTTTTTTTGAAAGTCAGGATATATCCTGTGTATCACCTAGAAAAAAAATATTGTTGTAATAAGTAATAAAATAATAATAAAAAAATTCTATAAAAAGAGTTGAATCACGAATATTAGTGATGCAAATTTAATATTTAAAAACGAATAACTTGATTTTTCTATTATTAAATATAAAATAATTTAAAAGCTAATTTTAAAGTGTATCAATTTTAATGCCTAGAAATAATTTCTAAAAATTAAAAATAAAGTCAAAAATACAAAAATGTTATTTTGATACTCAAACCGTAAAGTTGATATAAAGATTTTTCTTTATTTGCTACTTAAGTTAGTGCAATCTCAGCAATTATAATTGTTAGAGTAATCTTTGTGGAATTTGTAAGGACTGTAAGTTGTTTATCAAATTACAAAACATAGCCACAAAAAAATTTACTCCACTTTGAGAGCTTTAAATTAACAAAAAAATAATACAAAAAGTAAACTTTTTAAACATAAACAAAGCTCAGTACTTCTATTTCACAAAGAAAAAAAAAAAAGGAAAAACAAAAATTTTCGATAACAATTATTATTAAAAATGTTGAAAGAACAAATTTACCCATAAATAAGTTTTTGCATTAAAAAAAAATACTGGTTCATCTAGAACCATTTTTAAACTAGTGATTATCAGTCAGTCAACTGCTTCTTAGGTTTCCCAATTTTTATAAAGAATCTTTATCCATCAATCGCAAATCAAGATCTTAGCCCTCACAATTAGGGTTGGCATTGGGCAATGCCAACCTAATTGCCAAGCTGAAAGTTTTTAAGATAGGTAAATAGATGCCGACCTCATTCCTATGTTTGATGGTAAGACCATTGTCAAAATTTTTTTGCTGACCTCTAATAGTTTAATGTCGGCAGTTTATTGCCGATCTCATTTTTTCTAATTCTGAGGGCTGGGATCTGGAAGAAGGGTGTTTCAGAATAAAAAGTTGGTCTTGGAAATTTGTAGGTAAAGTCAACACAGAGTGTTGACTTTACCTTTTACAAATTGCTCAAAAAGTGGAGAAAAATTTGTAATATTGTTCCTGATAATAACTAATAACTGCACAAAATTTAATGAAGAGAATTAAGCTAAAAGTTTATATTTTTGCTTGAGGAAAGGAGATCAAATAATTTGAAATATATCAAAATACAGAGTATTATATATATACTAATTGAAAATATGTTAAAATGAGTACTAGGGATAAAACTTTTTTCCAACCTCATGTTTCTGTATGTCAGTATGATGAATACTTACTCAATGGCAAAGAAACAAATTTCAATATCTTTTAAAAAAAGTTCACCACCAAATCAAAATATCAAATTGCGTGTTAAAACTTAATAATGTACATTGTTTAATAATTATGACAGTCACTAACTATTACAGTTACTAGAGCATAGCATATGCTATACAGTGGGCCTAGAAGGCAAAGTTTTGGAAAGAAACTATACAAAGTATTACACTGATTTGAGAATGTAGTACTAACATGCTATCTTTGTACATAGTAGAGCATAGATTTTTTATGGTAGAAATTAGTTCTTCAGAAAAAAATCTACGGCCTTGTGATCCTGATGTAGATGTCCCTCCCTTCTCACCAGAGTTACAACACATTTCTTATTGCAGTTCAGTGTTTTTTTTTATTTTAGTAATAACCCTGTCTTTTGCATTACGTATTGGTTCACCAAGTAGTCCTGTTTTTTTAACCCATAGTCTATAATCTATATGACACCAATACAGTAGTTTCAAAAACAATGTAGTGCTATTTATAGTAAATGTGTAATATGCTTTTTTGATCAGATTTGGTTTGTGGTTTTTTAGTTAGCCCTTTTCATTTTACCACAGGATCATATTTTTACTCCCTTGATGGCCACGGCTGTTTCAGAGTGAGCTTTATGGCTTCTTGTTTTTTTTTTACTTAGGGGGTGTTACTAAAACATTTATAACTTTTTGAATATTTGAGACAATTTTGTTTTGTAAAAAGAATAAAAACAACAATAAAATGTTTCATCATACGACATTTAATACAATAGTAAAAAAACTTCTTTTAGTTTATAAAAAACGCGATAAATGATGATCTTGGCTAAATTTTAGTAGTTTGTTGTTACTTTTTATCAAAAAAAAAATCAGAAAAATATATTTCTGATAGTTATTATCAAATAAACTCATTGTTTGACTATTATTAAAATCAAAAAACCATACTTAATTGTTAAAGATTAACTAAAACAGTTTTTATTGAAGTCTGCTTGAAGCCATGAGAAAAAAAAACTAGCTAAAGTTTGTCTATTTATACAATATAGTTTGTCTCGCTAAAAAAGCTGTTTTAATAAATTTAGTTAGATAGTAAATTGGGAAGTAACTCATTTAAAGTTACGTCATTGCTTTAAAATATAAACAAAATTTTTACGCATGTAATTTAGGTTTAGCAACAACCTTTGTTGCTAAACCTGCCAAGGTTAAAGAGGTTTTAGCTTGAAGTACAGAAAGTAATTTTTTTGATTTTCATGTGCATAAAGGGTTGTAATTTCAATAATTTGGTGAACTTAACAAAAATATAATGTTTTTCATATAAAACAAGTAATAACAAAAATATAAATGCTGAAAAATTCAACTTAAAATCTTTTTTTTATCTATGTTCACCAAAAATCTGATAAAATAGACATTCGTTAATAAGTATATAAAATTTCAACAATCAAGCATGTAGCTTAAAATATTAAATCTTGATTGGCCCAAGACAAGTTTTCCGTTAAAATTGTCAAAAAACAGAAAAGTGATCCCAAATCATTAAAAATATTTTAATAATGTTTATTTTTATTTTGTTTAATGTGAATATTTCTTTAAAGAAGAAAGATAGTTCTTTTATATTTTTTTAACTTTAAGATAAAAGCGTTTATAGAAAAAAAAAACTATTATTTTAAAGTTAGTGAATTTTTATACTTTTTATGCGGAAATACGTTCTTTTTATTTCAACACAAAAATTCTTGTGATGTCAAGCTCAGTTTTATATTGAGTGAAACAGCCCTGTGGCATATTAATTTCAGAGGAATAAGACCATATTGAAACATATTTGACTTGCTTTCAATCATTTCTTTTGATTTTATCAATACTTGTTGCCTTGCTCCATCACAACCATCCTTACATACACACATCTAATACTCATCGCCATCTACTAGAAAAAAAGAATCATTGTAATTTTTACAAGCTCTTTGATTGAACAGAAACACCTCCTCCAGTCAAAACATTACTGTTTTGATTTGAAGAGGTGTTTCTGTTCAATAGAAAGAACATTGTAGGGCGCAGTTTTTTTCTTCAAGCAATTCATTGGTTGTCAGAAAATATATGTCTTTTGAAGCAAAAAGAAATCTTAATCTTCTTTACTTAATGTAAGGAAAGGAATTAAAACAATGGATTCATCTATGCTAAAAGTATCTGTTGTTTCCATATGGTTTGTAAAAA